TAGAAATAAAAACAAGCAAATACTCGCGAATTTGAAAGATTTTTTTTTTTTTTGGTACATTGTAGTTAGCACGTACTCTCGTCTTTGTTATTATCATGGTTTGAACTCGTCGTGATTAGCAAAATAAATGATAAAATAAGACGATGTCGACTTATCAAGGCTCGACTCTACTAATAATCAAAATCAAATTCCTAATACTCATTTACAAGTTACAACGTTTTCTTACATTCTGCTCTACTTATCCAGATTGTAGTCGGAACCTTTGTCCCGAACGGTTTCAAAATCCCGAAACGGAAGTACCAAACGGAGCCCAAAAGCATCACCCCCACATCTGCTCCAGCTACAGTCACAGCTGCAAGGCCCATATCACAGGCCCCACCTGAGGCTGTCACTTACCCGGCCCAACAACATTCGCATTTTCTGGTGGGCCCACAAAATCCGGGCCAAGCGGAGAACAACAGCCCCTTCAGCCACAAGGGCCTGCAAAATTCTGCATCAACCGATACGGCCGAGTGGCCTGGGCCTGGGCAGGGCTTTGCTCATAGACCGTCTCCTGATATCAACATCTCCATTCCCATCGACGAGCATTGAAGATGTGATTTTTATATTAGGACTTTCTTCAGATGTCTTACGGTTTTCGTTAGGTATAACCGAGTTTGACTTTTCTGTGGCATGGGTGATTTTATGCCCTGTTTTAGCTTAATTTTAGATGTTTTTAGGGTTCTTGGTGATGACTTCAAGTTTGTTTTTTTGTGTCTTGAGAATTTTATGGTTATGTATACTCAAATCACCACCTTAAATTGTCTTTCCACTGAATTTGTGGTGCATTTTGGTAAAGTTCATTTAGTATTATCTGAATTTGACTTCTTGATTCTTTGTTGAGCTTTTGATTTGCTAACTAAGCAAGTCTTTTGAATTCGACTCGTTTATTAATATTAACAAATCAATGTCGAGTCGAACTCAAATATTAGAAGTTGAGAATTAGAAAAATACACAAAGTCTTCTTTCCGAGCCTCAACAATCCTCCATCTCAGTTCGACTTGGTTTACTAACTAAACGAATCATCGATTCAATTTGAAGTTATGAACAACCAAAGGCTAAATAACTTGTCATTAACACCCAATAAAGTACCAAAATATAGGTAAATAATAATTCATCCTTCTTAATAATTCACTCCATTCTCATCTTAACATCTATCCTACAATTTGATCATTTGGTATCAACTATCTGCAGAACTACCAGCTTCTTCACTCTTCTTCCCAAAACGAAGAACAATATTCTTATAATACTTCCAATCGGGATGAGATGGCGTGATCCCGGGCTGCCCGATCGGGTGATCTTTCACGTACGATGGAACATCCTTAGCATCCGTTAGCCCGTCGAGAAACTTACGGAAATCGCCATTAGGACCTATTACAAGTACCAAGATTAATATTAAAAAAAAAAACGTACAAAAAAAATTTCATATCACTACAAAAGCTACAAATTTAACAAATATTTTAGAATATTATTAACTATGCCAACCTAGAAATGTGTCCTCCACATTGTGGGTCTTGTAAGGTTGGGGAAAAATTGCTGTGTTGGGCTGCAAAAAATACATATGACTTAAAAATTATTTGTTATTAAAAATAAATAAATTAAACAATAAAATGAGATATATAGTTAATAATAAATAAATAAATACAGGATTAAGGAGGGCTGTATGTGGTTCATCATCAATTAACAGTGTGTTTGAGGCAGAATATTTTTCTTTGTAGCTTTTATTTTCCCATAAGTCCTTCATTCTTTTCAGAAAAAGGGGCTTCTGCTTTTTGTGAAGGCAGCCATATCCAGAATCAGTGCATTCTTCTTGACTCTGTAATAAATAAATAAATAAATAAATAAAATGAATAATACAAAAAATTAAATTTTTGTATATTTTTTTTTTCTTTGTGCTATAATATAAAATAATTAATTGCAGACATTACCCACACAAACACGAATTTGTGCCTCGCCCCACCAGTTATGCTGCTCAAAACACCTTCAATATTGTGCCTATTATCAACCCAAAATATTATTTTAGCATACATTATTGAATAAGCAAAAAAATAAGCACAAAAACAAAATAATATTCACATGTTTCGGAGAAATGCTACGGTTACCATCCCGTCGGGTGTTTTAACTGTGAATCCACGGTTAAAACACCCGACGAGATGGTATAGTAATGGGACCGTAACATTCTCCCATGTTTCGTTTAATAAAAATTGAATAAAATTGTGTCTTTTACTAACTCCCTCGCAGAGGACCAAAGCGCGACATCGAAACGCTGGAAACAAAAATTCAGAAAATCTGTGCAAAATGGCCTCTTAAAAACTGCACCAATTTTCACACACAAAAAGAAAAAAAAAAGTAAATAATATTGAAATTATGATAAAATTATAGTAAAAGAAAAACATTTGTTTTAATAAAAAAAAGTTACCTAAGAAATTCCCATAACGAATATCGGCCCGAAGCCCACTAACAGTGTCTTTCCTTTAGGTGGGCCCTGTGAACAAGCAAGCCTCCTAAACAGAGCACGAGAAGCTTCTTATTCGGGCCGAGATTGAGCTTGAGGAGTGAAAGCCCGAGATCAACGTCATCATCGACGTCGTCATTTTCAGAATCGCTTTCGTAACAGAGAACCGACTTGAGTTTCGAATTAGAGTATTTTTCAGTCATTTTGAGTTTTTTTTTTTTTTTTT